TTTTTTTTTTTTGGGGGGGGGGGGGAGGTTTAGTATACATTATGAACCAACGGTTTACACGGGATTTTGCCAAGGTAACAAAAATGGGACACGGAGGAAAACTATTTTTCCTTTTCGGTTACGTATTAATGTCAAACGGAGAATCGTGATTTGCTCTTATACCTTGGACATCAAAACACCATTGCAACTCACCGCATTAAATGTCAAGGCGCTGCATGTGATCTTTTTGACGTATCCATGGATATTACCTCCGGAAATATTGGTCATACTCGCTAAGAGCGCAGTTTCCCCGTGGTAAAAGGGTCATTTACCACGGTAAAAAGAGCCCCGTGTAACCGAACCCTAAGAGAGCAAATTTCCTGGAAACTAAAGTCCAGACATGTTTCAATTCTCCTGTAACCGTTTTTTCGGCTGCAGCTTGAGGTCTTATCTTTACTCGACATTCATCACTACAAGATGACAAAATATAAAAATATTCACTGTAAAGCTACAATTTCTCTGATTTATCCATAGCGCATCAACTTGTATTTGACTGAGATCCCACACAAGTTCGCATTGCGGACCTATTTTTTTTACCTAGATGACGTTTCTGCTTATAATTAGCTGTCTAGAGATTCATGAAATCAGTAACGAATCCCCGGAGTATTTGGAACATAAATCACTTAAAAAATGAAGGTACGACTCCAAAATGGTAGAATTTGTGTTTCAGTTAATGCCCTTAAGCAAACCGAGAGATTTTAATTACAGCAGCATTGGTGTTTATGATTGATAATATACGTTTTAGCTAACCTGCGATCAGGCGTTCTTTTTAACAGCTAGGGGAAGGCGAACGGGCTGCAGACGACTCGTGAAGTAAATGTATCTGGCGTTCAGTTTTCCTCTTCCCCGATTCGCCAAAAAAAAAAAAAGAAAAAAAACCAACGCCTGATCGCAGGGTTCGTGTTTAAAACACGCAACGGTGAAATGGCACTACAGTTAGCCTAAATAGCGATCAGGTTAGCCTAAATATCACTGACTCGGCAGTGGTTAGCTCTCAACAACTGCAAGGGTTACCCTTACAGACAACCGTATCCCACATTGACTCTTACCTGTAGTGCCATTTCGCATCATAGCGAAAACCGTACTGCGGACGAGACCCTCATCTTAGCTATTTTCCATTGACAGTTAACAGGTCCATCTCGGCGTGAAATGCGGGTTTTCACTTTCCTGTTGCTTCTTGGGGTTCCGAGTGGATGGGCCAGTGAGGTTTGTGACAAAGATAAAGGCCCGACAGGTCTCATCGAATGCTTAAAAATCGAGGGTTACCAGGGAGAGTATCAGTGGGCAACCTGCCTGACATCAGACCATATCCTAGAAAAAAGTGACCGCGATCACATCTGTGCAGACCGCACTCGACACTATTGCTGGTACCCTTGCATGTTCGAGCTGCATCGCCAAAGTTCTGGCTCAGTGTCAGACGATTGCACCTGTACTATATACCCGCAGGCCCCTTCCAGTATCATCCCGCCTCAAGAGTGCTACAGCCCTGCTGGAGATTCCTGTTATTGGTATCGTAATTGCTTTGAAAAGAGAATTCTTTGCAAACCCTCAGGCAATGCTTACGTCATAAGATATGCCGAGAGGTTCTGCAGAGTGTTCGAAGAACAAAAAGCCAAAATAAGTCCAGACGCGCGGAAGTGGATGGAAGCTGTCCGTAAATGTCAGCAGGTTGCTATGGTACCATTGCTGAGGGACTCAGAAGATCAAACTTGTAACGAAATAAGAGAGCAAGCTCTTGCTTCTTACACCCAGTGCTACTTGAATCCAGGTGAAGGAGCGAAGTCGATTTGTGACGTCTTTTGTTGGGACCACTTCAAGATATTTTGGGCAATCAAGGCATCGTTCGTCAAGCTAGATACAGCTTGGGAGTCTCTAAAGGGATTGTGG